GCCATAGGCTTAATTGCATCTAAGCACCTAAGGCTGTTTGTATATTTTTTACAATGGCAAAAGAGTCACGTGTTTGAGGCAAGACTTAGAACTAGGTTTCATTTCCTCCCTGCACAATGCCTTAATAACTAGGTTGGAGATGCACCTGCTCTTGCTTTTGCACACTCCCTCTCTGGCTCCACAGAGCTCAAACTCTTTCCTGTACACTCTAACATCTTTAGGAAAAAGGATAGCAAATGTCTTCATCTCAGAAGAGTGTCTAAGAGGACAGTTGGAATATCCAGATGGGCGGAAAATTAAAAGAAGTTAAAATCCCCTTAGAAAAAGGAGGAAAGTAAACCTAAGCATTCCCTCAGTCTTTTTAAGCATTCTCATATCTCCTCAGGATCCTCCCTGAGATTTTTTGAGTTTAAAAAGCAGAAGCCACAGGCCACAGACAGGAAGTCCCTAGATGACATGAGCTTGAGAGAATCAGTATTTAAAATATTCCCATTCTTTTCTTTCCCTGTCAGTGAACAATTCTCTGGAGACCTATCAGAATTTAAATTAGTGACATGCCAGGCTACATGAGGAGCCTGAGCACTTGACACAGGGCCTTGGAGGACACCCTGAAACCAGGCACCTTAGTCCCTTTCTGTAGCTAGCCATAAGCCAAAATCAAAACTTCCTGCTGCTTCAGGGAGAGCAGAAGAAAAAGCAAATGATACACACTCTTTTAAAACCTTAATGCTTTAATCATAGCATTTTAAAAATTGCCCATTCAATATCCTGTGAAAATTTAAAAAAATAATAAAGGTAAATATATCTGGGTTAATTTTTCGTGTAGTGGTCTATAATGTTATCACATTGTCATGGATTACTTTTTATCTACATTATCCTGCCATTCAAGTAGTATTATCATTTCTCCCTCTAGGTGGGCAGAAACAGTACAGATAAATTCTTCTGATTAACCATATCTCAACAGTATTTTTCTGATAACAATCACTTTTAAGATAAAGTATATTGAAGTTCCTCCAAGAGAGCATAACTGTGATGCTTTAGACTTTTCTCTCTCAGTGTTAAAAACTGTTTATTCAACCATTCCAGTTGTAAATTTTACCACCTAAAGTTACTAACATTTTATTAAGATATTTTTAAAATAACACATTTATCCTTCCATTCTACCCATGTGTGTCACTCTTTGTATCTGACGCTGTCAACACTTAATTTCTAACTGTGTCACCTTTTCCACATGTTTCATTCCTTGCTGCCATTGATTCTACTCCATTTCATCTCTGCACTTCTGCTTTTATGATGCAGCCACCTAAAAAGCTTTTGGACTATGTTCAAGACAGTTCTTCTGGTGTTTCCAATGAGGTAAATGAATGGTTCTTTTTCAGATGATTCTCTTGGGAAGAAGGGTTGGAATGGTCACCATTTATGTCTTAGGTTTGTTAAAATTTAGTGGTTTCCTTCTGATAGCTATGAGACATTTCTAATTCACAATCATTGTATCTTTGTCTTCATATCTTTCCAGATCACTAGTGCATTTGGATGTTGATCTTATTATCCTAGGAACTGTGAGTCCTTATACCCAAAACTTCTCAGAGATTAACACCCAGAATTACACAACACTCCATACGTCTCTAACTCTCTGACAAATTCCCACTTTTCAGAGTTGGGCAAGTGCATTGCACAATTAATCCCTCAGCACAGTATATTTTTTTACTGAAATACCTGACTGCAAATTCTATGTGTCAAGTGAAAGCCCTTGTGGCTAAGCTGTCATTTCTCCAGTTAAGTATTTATGACTAAGGTTGTTCATCAGGTAAAACAGCAATTAATAGTACTTTTGTAGTTTATAACTCAGGATTGACAGTTGCTGTCAGTACTCCAAATAAAATTCATCGTCAGGTAGTGGGCTGACATTGCCCTACTCTGAGTGGGAGAGATTCAAGCTTTCATTCCTTCTCCACTCCCCCCCATTTTACAGCGTTAGGGCAAAAGTCAGTGAATCCTCTGCTGGCAACTTTGCTTCCTATGGTGGCTTTACTTCATCCATATTTGTGATTCACTTTCATCTTCTGTAGCTTCTCCGAAGCTTAAGCTCAAATTGTGGTCTTAAATTGTTAATTGTTTAAAATTTACTCTGGTTTGATTTTAAGCTCTGTGTATCTTGAAAAACCTCAGAGTTATTTGGGCCCAGTTCTCTGAAAGATAAAGCTTGTAGGCCTTTCCTAATTCCTGTTGGTTTTCAATATATCAAGGTAGACAATTAAAAAGGCCTAACATGACTTTGAAATATTCCCATGTTCAGTAGATCTGGGTAAAATGGTTATTAAGTAACACTGTTTTTCTCTTTGATTAATCTACAAAGAAGTCCTCTCTTTCATTTTGAACTTTTAATAATCTTTAAATATGATAAATCATGTTCACAAACTACAGCAACTTAATACTTCTCTGGAGGGGGAGACTATTCAAAATAACTTGATAAAGTATAACCATCATGCAAACAAACCTATTTGTTATTTTCCTTTTACTTTTGCCTACTTTCCCTAGCTCTGTTTTTAGTCGTCATTAAAGACGTGATGCATAAAAACAGCTAAAATACAGGCATAATTCTAAATATAGATCTCATTTTTTTAGTAAAAGCCAAGTATTCAAAAAAGCCTGTATTTGGTAGTTTGGAGTTGTCATCTCCAATATTTAATTTTTTTTTCAAGTGGCCTTTATTCATATAGAGCAGTGTTGAATGTTGTGGAAGATGGCTAATTATCTCTGGAGATGGAAGAGATGTGTTCAGTTGGGCCATCTAAAAGTGGGTCATTAAACGCCCAAGAGCTGACAGGACAGCTGCAAACAGTAAAACAAGCAGTAAAAAACAACCTCACACAGTGTTTACTTTCACCTTTTCTTCTATATAACACATCAATGAAGCTCTACATATGGAGAGAAGGTATAAACGCCACACAATCTATAAAATAATATATGCCTGTAGTAAAAATAAGTGTTTTAGAGTGGGCAACGTACAGGATCTGTCACATAGAAAAAACTTCTAAGACAGCATTAAATAAAGGATTAAAGGGCAAGTTACATTCAAGGTGATAAGATAACCTTAAAGAATGAAAAGCAAAAGCCACTAACCCAGCAGTCAGTTTTGGCGTGATATGCACTTCTAGCCATCTGTGTATGGCCTGGGGAATGCTGTGGATAAGGAAGTTCCCTCTGTGATGTGTGATTTCCACTGTGTGATTTACTCATAGGCTTCCATAGGAGACAGTGAGGCTCTGCTCCACCCTTGGGAGTGACATCATGGTCTGTACAGGCATGGAGCTACTAGAGGTGGTGGGAAGCAGTCACTGCCTCAGGGCCATTTGGCCACTGGCACCTCCCAGGTGGGCAGTGGTTGCTCGTGGAAGTGGTTGGCATCTGCACAAAAGAATCCACAATGACAATTTATCTGCAGCGTTTGCGCCACCTCATGCAACAGCCCTGATAGATCACCTGTGGTCCTGAGTTTCCCTCCTGGCTGGTTCCAGACCGTGGCAGTGACTGGTCAAGAGAAGAAAGATGGTTGTGGCCAGTTTTGAATGAGACTCGAATGTTTTCCAGGACAGGCTGAACGTGTGTTTTACAGGCAGTGTAGGGAAGCACACAGACTGAGGCCTTTGCTTACTGTGGTTATACTGGTTGTTGGTGTGAGCAGCACTGTGTCTGGCTTCTATGGTTTTATTGCAGACAGATCTCACAGCATTGCATATATATCTTAAAACCATTGCATTTGGAGAGTGATGGGAGAATCACAAAGTATTTCTAAGACTTCAGAGAGTGTAAAGAAAAACTTGAAAATATGAATGATGTGAACATTTGGAATTATCTTTGCTCAGGTTTTAGATAACGTTTGTTTCATATTGTGGCATGTTTGCGTGGTTCTCCCCACCCCACTGTCCTAAAAAATCTGTTCCCAAATATTCTAAGACTACTGGTGACTTCTGGAGGTATACCTAAGTGTCAGTTAACAAATCTGGGTGAAGTTCTATTCATGAACTTGCAAATCCAGTAACTGGAGGGGAAAAAAAAATCCAACAAAAGAAAGAATTTGTAAAGCCCATGAGTGCCACTACTTTGGCAGTCCTTCAAGACAAAGATTTTTCCATGCAGGGAAAAAATCCTGCACCTTAGAAAAAAATCATACACCTTAGAAACCTGTATGATAGAACCTGTTCTATTTCTAGTTCATTGAGTTATGGAAAGCTGAAATGACATGTCAGGAGCTTGAAAGAAGTTTAATTCTTGAACCTGACTGCTTTGTACCCATGAAGAAATACCCCAGGAACCATGCAGTTCATTCTAGATTCATACCTGGTTACCAGAATTGTAATATTACTTAATTCTGACTGAAGGCTTGAAATGGTTGATTTAAAATCAACTAGTCATTTAAGGCTGACTTTGTATTAATAATACAATTATTGAAGTTCCATCTCCCAGTGTTCATGCAGTAGCGCAACAATTTTCTGTGATGAGAACTGTCCTTACCAGGATTATGAGGTATATAAGGCCAGTTGCTGACCACAAACATGGGATGGACAAAAGTTTCTGGCTCTTATTGATTGTGGGATTTTGGTGAGTAATTGAGGGATGAAGACAAGCTTTGCAGACCTCACATGCACACAAAAGAATAATTTTCAGATTTTCCTGGTTTTATATTCAGCTGTTCTGTGTCTGGTTTTGAAAAGTATATATAAAAGCATGATTTGGGATCATTATTTAGCAGTGCTTTAAAGGAAAAAAAAATTACTGAAGTAGAATAGGTAATGAAATCTAATGATGGTTTTAAAACCTGCATCATTTATTCTCATGAAATGTTGCTGTGACTGTGGTGGAGTGCCCAGGATGTTAATTATCATGGGCTGTTGTTAAAGAATTTCCCGGAGTAACAAGGAGTCATCAAACATGATAAACAAAAAATGTCATTCTTTTTTCAGATACAAACATAACAATCTATGTGTTTGTTTTCACAGGCTTCCTTATATCATCACTATTCAACAGACAGAGGCCTGGACAGGCCCTCCAGGTAAAAAATACTGTCTGTACTTCAAAAAACAGATTGTCCAGCCTGAGGGTCTTCTTTGGGACCTGAAATCAGCAGATTTTGAGAAGAGTCAGATATTCACCTTGTGAGCTATTGGCAAATTACATGCTTGGAGAGATTGTTGGTTTTGATACTGATGTGTAGATTTTATTTTAGTTTTACAAGGACTTAGTGTTTGCATTTAAATTAACCACACTGTGTTCTGGGTCTTTCCATTAATATTCCTGAGCTTCTCAACAGAAGTGATTTATTCTTTACCCTTACTGCCTGCAGCATATTCAGTGCTGTTTTCCTGAGCATGATGCCTTGACTGTTCTCAGTCTCTGTCTTTTCTTTTCTCTTTTAGGTGCATATCTTTGCACCTAAACTCTAGTTCCAAAAAATGGTCTAAAAGAACTCAATGCATTTATTTCCAAGAAAATGGCATAGTAATGTTGTGTAAAACTTTAAAGCGATCAGGTTAGGAACAAATTAATCTTTTCACTTGGAAATAGGCTGTAAGATGTGTGAGACCAGTGCTTCTTCACTTTAAGTGGTTTTTCATGTATTTATTTTGCATTTTTTAATCTATAAACCAATAATATAATTATAACCTTACTTCTTAAATTCTTGAATTCTGATCTCAGAATCAGACTGCTGCTGATACTGCTTTTTTCTGTAGTTCTGCAAGTACTGCGAGTGACTACAGAAAGCGAAGGAAGTCAGAGCCTGCTGTAAGTCACCAGAGGGCACACAGTGATCAGAACGCCAACAGACCTAACCTGGGCCATACAGACACACAGGGCTCATCTTCCACCCTTAGGAAGCCTTTAACTAGCTCATCTCCTTCTTCTCCATCAAGAGCAAAAGGTAAGAGGAGACCACATTAGTTAGCAGACAAATAACCTGTAAGATTAAAGGTGTGTGTCCAGGATAGCAGACCTTTTAAATTCATAGCTGATGTCTAAGCTGTCAGTTATCAGGACCTAATGTAATCAAGAAAATATCCATAGTTGTCAGGACCTAATTTAATCAAGAAAGCATCCATAGTCTGATTTTTTACTTTCTAAATCCTTGGAAGTATTTAGTACAGTTGATGCAATCTAATTAGCTTATTTTTGTAAGTAACTCACCATCCTATTACTGTTTTCCACATCTCTTCAAGAAAGAGATCACAGAGTCAGTTCATTTGGGTTTGGAGGTTTGATTTTTTCTAGAAAGACAAAAAGCTTTCAGTAAAACATAAAATAATATATATAATAATACTGCATACAGTATGTCTCCTTCTGTTCTAATTATTATTATTATTCTTTTAATTGCTCTATTTTGTAGCTATACTAATCAGTAAACTTCTGTAACAGTAAATTCCCAGTGAAAAGAACATAATATCCAGACTGCAACAGAAGGTGTCAAAGAAAAGCAGTGAGGAACATTGCGACTGAGGTGGCTGAAAAGCAAATGTATATTAAACATTTAAAACATTAAATGTTATAGCAGTAATTTTAAAAGTGGATTAACTCATCCATTTGGCTTACCAGGCCAGGCAGTAAAAAGTTGATAAATTCCATTTGTCTGCATGTGCCTTTGACTCCACCACCAATAACAAGCATGACTTCAACACTTCCTGTGTTTGCAAATCCTTCCATTGAGAATATCTTCCACAGCCAATTAGCTTTCAGTAGCTGACACTGTTCTCTCCCAGCATTATGACCCTTGTAGAATGTTAATTTTTCTTGAAATTAACCAATTTGTTAAAGAAGGAGCACATTATAAATTGTTTGATCAGCATGAATTTTGAACTCAAGTTTTTCACTTTCAGGTCTAGATTTAATTTTTTTCAGAAAGCAGACTGAGCTGTTTGAAGCACCCTTCCTGAACTGAATGTTGCCAGTTGAAACTATTTTTGAAAGCTCAGTACCATTATGAAAGCATAATATGAAAATTTGTCTCATAGTGTCTTCTAGATCTACCATGCACATAAAAATATGTCTTAAAGCTTGAAAATTCAGGCCTTTGTTATGGAAGTCAATCTAAGGGTTATTTTTACTTCTACATTGTGGTTAGGCTGAGTAAACCGATACACCTTCCTTTACACTTGAATAGCACTTCCTGAGCTGCCTTGTTCTGCCTTGAATAAGCTGTATAAACACTTCTCCCTTCAGTGCTATCACCAGGGAAGGAGCAGGCTACCTCTGAATTACTTGGAGAAATTTCCTATTTGATCTGATACAAAGATTTATCTTTGTTTTAACTATCTTAGAATATGTGGATGCTGTGAACTCGGAGCATTATACAGCTTAAAAACCGTAAACAACCTTTTTAGAATGCCCAGATGGAAAAGTCAGTATTACCCTGAGGTCTAGATTTGTTGTGTGGCTTCATCTTTAAATCCTTTGCCGCTTTTATTGTCTGTTGACCTGCTTAAAAATCCCAATTACTCCCCAGTTAATGCCTGGTTTCTTATGTTGCTTTGATGGCAGGGGTTGTAGAGGAGATAACATCTCCATAATTAATAAGGAATTCTTTTTGTTGTTCAAATTATCATGAATGCATTTTTGCAGCTGGAAAATAACTTAATTATTAGCTCTGCTGTCCTAGGCTGTAACAAACTATGTACTGACCTAAGCTGATAGATGCACTAATTGCTCTCTCTTTTCTAGTCTTTCTAATACTTACTGATGCTAATTCCAACTTTCTGAATCTTTTAATTTCTGGCAATGTTTCTTTTTTATCATGCTGCTCTATGGATTATAAAGGTGGGGATATTAGCAAAGTATATCCATCCCTTTTAAGTTACTCAGTGCACAACCAGAACACCTCAAATGAATTAGATTACTGTAGCACTTACAGACAACATTTAGCTGTTCCAAATGATTCAAGAAGGGCAGCCAGCTACAAGAATGGCTGGCAAATGACTCGCCAAAATGCAGAAATCTGGAGTAGCACAGAGGAAGCTGCTTCTCCGAAGAGGAAATCTCGTAGCTGTGATGACCTGTTAACAGATGATCACAACAGCTATCCCGATGCACAGGCCAAGGCTGAAAGCATGGGCTCTCTGTTATGTGAGGAGGACTCCAAAGAAATTTGCTCAATGAACTGGAACTCCCCATACGTTGAGCGCCGTGGTAGTGGTAGGTCAAGAGTTCGTCACAGATCTGCACATGATGCTCCAGGTTTCCTGAAGATGTACAAAAAGATGCACCGCATCAATCGCAAGGACTTGATGAATTCTGAGGTGATTTGTTCTGTCAAGTCCAGAATACTGCAATATGAAAAAGAACAGCACAAAGGGATTCTTCAAGGCTGGAGAGAGTCTTCTACTGAGGAGGTGCCCAGAGACATGGTGCCAACCAGAATATCTGAATTTGAAAAGTTAATTCAGAAGTCAAAATCAATGCCGAACCTTGGTGATGACATGTTGTCAACTGTTTCATTAGAGCCTCCTAAAAATGGCTTGTGTCCAAAGAGGCGATTTTCTATTGAATCACTGCTGGAAGAAGAAACTCCAGTCAGACATCCCACTCAGGTACAACGGAGCTACAAGTCTAAAACCCTGGTGCCAATACACATTGAAGTGACCAGTGATGAGCCACAACGATCACATATAGATTTTTCAGACAGCGATCAAGACGGGGTGGTTTCTGATCTCAGTGACTTTATCCAGATAGAGGGTTCATCCTTTTGTAGTGAAAGTGACTTTGATCATTTTTCCTTCACTTCATCTGAAAGCTTTTATGGATCAGGCCATCACCACCACCACCATCACCACCACCATAGGCATCTCATTAGCTCCTGCAAAGGGCGATGCCCAGCATCCTATACCCGCTTCACCACCATGCTAAAACATGAAAGGGCTAAGCAAGAAACCACTGAAGATCCAAGGAGACAGGAAGCAGAATCTGGCCTGTCTAAGATAGCATTCCTCGTCAGTCCAGTGCCTTTCCGGAGGAAAAAAAGTGCAGCTCCTAAAAAACAAACTGAAAAGAAAAAATGCAAGTCATCAGTGTTTGAAGCACTAGATTCTGCACTTAAAGACATCTGTGACCAAATAAAAGCTGAAAAAAGGCGGGGAAGCTTGCCTGACAACAGTATATTACACAGACTTATTACTGAGCTGCTTCCAGACATTCCAGAAAGGAATTCATCTCTTAAAGCTCTGAAAAAGAGTCCCACGCACCAGCCTTTTCATCCACTGCCTCAAGATGGTGCTATCCATTGTCCACTGTACCAGAATGATTGTGGAAGATTACCTCTTAGTGCCTCTTTTCCAGACATCGATGCAACTAACAACAATGATAGTGCACTGTGTTTCCAAGGTGGATTAACTTTCTTCCTCTATCCCTGTGATTGACTTATCCAACCTTACTCCCTGTGTTTCCCACCCTTTCTCATTCCACTTTGTGTCTTCCATAAGAAGCTTTCATCCCACAGAATTGTTAGTGAAGGACATCATTTTCACAAGGGTGTTGAGAATAGATAAATTTGCTGTCTATTCACAAAATACAGTAATCAGGACAACTGAAGTAGCAGTGCATTTCAACTAATTGAAACTAAATTAGTTCTATAAATTATAATGATGTTACTAAACAGTGAATTCATGCATCATAAGATGCTGGTGAAACTGAAAACAGTATGCAGATAACCTTTCTTTATCATTAAGAAAAAAATAATGTGAATCTAAAATGTGTTTTACGATATAATTTTGTTAAATCTAAGTGATAAAAATGCTGTTAATTCTGCCAGTATCATAGAAAGTCGATTCTGTTTTCTTATGAATACACTACTTTGTGTTACTTTTTGTGAATAGATGTTAAGGTCATTTTAGGAAGTTTCCATTTCCACTGTTCAAACAATTTCCAATTTCTGTGGCAGCAAAACTAATTTTTTTCCATAGAATTTCAAAATGTCTGTGAAATTCTGAGAAATTTCCTGTTTTCTTAGAAGGGAATTTCTCAATAATCAAAACTTGAATGAAATTGTCAGGGTAAGTATGACCAATCTGTTTTTAAAGTTATTTCTTTGAGTTGTTTGTTGCTCTGCTTCTTTTTTTTTTCTTTTATTTTAATCAAAAAAAGAAAAAAATACTTATAAGATATTGTTGAAATCCAAAATGGATGTAAAAGAGAATGTCTTTAATATAGAAATTATGCAATATTTGATCAGACACATCTTATCATTTTTCTCGCATATTTTTGTGTAACTTTTGCAAGTAGCACAATAATAAATATGTATTTCAAGAGAAATCAGAATTGTAGCTATTACCATCTTTTCTAAACTTGCTGTAATAGACATATTTAGAAAAGCAAATTTGGTAAAAAACAACTATAAAACGCAGTTCAGAATTGAATTAGTCATACTCGAGGCCTGATCATAATTAACCCTGGCAGACAGTACTACATAATGAGACTGAAGCTGTTGAAAAATGTGTTTTTCACATAGTGTAGTTGCTAAATGAGAATTTTCCAGTCTAGGAAAATAAGGAAATCCATAGTGTAAAGAAAATATGGATTTCTAATAGCTTTTGCAGCTATGAAGGAGCCTGGCATGAGGAAAGCAATACACTCTGTTAACATTAATATCCCTAAAGTAGCGTGGAGAATGAGTAAAGCAGAATATTCCATTAGTTTCCATCAGCACCAGTCATGGCTGAGCTCTACTTCTAATCAAGTTTTCATGTTTTGTTGGATCTGTGTGCATCTCTTACAGCCACACAGAGACCTGAAGGTCATAGCAGATGATTGAAAACTACCAGTATTGACTGTATAAGGAACTGTAGAAAATAGGAGGACATTTTTTTGTCCTAAAGCTTCTGCATTTTCACTCCTTTCCAATATCCTTCTCATACTGCTAGAAATTTAAGGGAAAAAATAGATGTGTTTGGAGTCATTCATTGTATCTTTAGGTTTATGCAGTAGGTGTACATCGTCATTCAGGAACACATGCCATATCAAAAAAGCTGTCCAGAACTGGGACTCTGATATACTTACTGGGAATGACATGCTTACAAACAATGGTATAAATAATAAAATTATCTCTTTACCTCCACTTTATTTATCAATAGCCACAAGTTTTTGTGGCTTAGCCAAAAACCAATTTGAATGGATGAGATGCTTTCAGTTCTTTTCTTTGTTACACTTTTATTTCTTCAGAAATGTATGAGCTTGGTAACAACAGATCATGGGAATGAAGTCAAAGGAAGATAAACATAAATCACATTTTCACTAGAAAGTATCACTGTGGTAGTAGGAGACTAAAACAATACTTCTCAGAAGTTAAGAGAGTTCATTAAATATTTCTATTTTCATTTCACATTTGCAACTTGCAGAGCTATACAGTGTATATGATTTTGATTTTATCCTTATCAAAACATGAGAAAATATTCACCATCCTATAATAAACATTGGTAAACTGTGCTTTAGAAAAGTCTGCCACATAGATTGGCAAGTAATATGATTTGTGTTCCATCTCTTAAATCAGAGTTTTTTTTATCAAGTAACATCCTTTTAAATTCCCTTGTGCTGCCTAACATGTGCCCCTGGTAAAGTAGAAATGCATTTTAGATCACTTAGGAGGAAACAATATTTCTTCACATCTTGTCATTGAAGCATGCTTGAATCATGTGTTGTGCATGTAATTATGTGTTTACATGCTGACATTCCAAAACAATGTCATGCACCCTGATGGAGTCCGAGTACTGCTGTCATGACTTCCACTTGGCCAGCAGGGAAGCATCCCTTTTCACAGCAAGGCATAAATGCACTCCCTTGATCCTCAGTCATAGTTTCTTCTGCTCTGGATCAGAGGACAGCCTTAGCCTTTGCTTAAAGTTAGTTTTGATTTGTTTTTTCCTTTAAAGGTGCTCTTAACCATCACATCACATGCTTTTCTTTCTATTAAACGTAAAATAATAGATTTCAATATCTTTTCACCCCCCTAAATGAAAGCAAGCAGCATCACAGGTTTGAATGGTTTTGTTTATTATAGTTTCACATAATTTCTGTTTCCAGTAGACCAGGAGTCTCCTGGAAGCTATTCTGCTTTCACTGATGTGGGACGATGTACTCCAAGGGAGAGAAGAGGAACTGCAGAGAAAGAGGTAGTGAAACAATAAATAACACAGCAATATCCGTATGGAAAACTGGTAACATATTTGAGACAAGATTTGTCTTGGTTTTAAGACTATATAATGATGCAGACCAAAGGAACAGTATCTTCCTTTTTCATTAAGGAGATTGGTACTTCAAGAAATTAAAATAATATCAAGCTTTGTAAGATAAGCTGTATTCTTCTGTTCATTATTAAATAGACATGGACATAAACTCACTAGTTATTGATCAACTCTGTCAAAACTGATTGGAGTGTGTGTTTGGAGCAAAGAAAAATAACAGATTTGACTGGGGAAAGACTCTTCAGAAATCCAAAGTATTACACAAAGAAACTACCTTGGTAGTTTCAAAACTGATACAAAACACCTATAATTCACTGTTATTTTTGTTTGGAAAGCAAACCACTGCTGTTAGTGGATTAGACAAAACTAGTTAGCCTAAGAGGAGTCTCTAATATCTGTAGCAGGTGGTGATTGTAATTAGATACTGATTGCTTGTGGTAATATTTTGGAAGAGAAAATGGAAGCAGGTGTGCCACCTTTAAAGTAACATTAACATTAAGCATCACTGAAAAGTACATATTGAAATATAAAATATATACAGTATTTATTATTCTGTATCTTAAGAGTGCTTATGGATCTAGAACTATAAATTCTCTCCAAACAACATAAACTATTACTGTGTTTTAATTACTAATTTATAAGATTTTGCTCTGGGCTATATACCTTGATAAATGGTGGTATGCTTAGAACTGAATTCAGATCCATTTATACCCCACTGACATGGTTATATTACTGGAATTTGATTAAAAGTCTTATTTTTTAAAAAAAGATTACTCATTACAAAATACAGGCTAAAAAAAGTTCCAGGAGCCATATTGTATGTTTCTTTTAAAGAATCTTGTGACATGGAAAGTCATTTTTTCAATTTGAAAATACGTAAAATACTTAAATTACAAGCCATTTTTACGATCACTTCAAAAGGTTTAAAAATATTAAAGAAGAAAGGCATCTCTATTTCCAGTATGTTTTGTACATTTCAAAGTATTTTTTATTTAAATAGCTGCACTGTTCTTTTAATATCCACTTTTTCTGTTATTTGATTTAATAGTCACAATACCATCTGTACCAAAATCAGGAAAGACTGAATAGAGTTTAGCTGCAGTTAATATGAATCATATGTTGATTCATGTCTAAAAGACCTCCTTCCCTCCTGTCTAAAAGACCTTTTTTAATAACAGCAAAGAACAGAAAAATGCTTTTAAATTTAGGCTATCTTATTTGAAGGAGATCTGTAATGGAAAATCATATTGGTATGGCAAAATTCAAGTTGACAGGATCCCTATAATAACTTCAGGGACTTCACTAACAGTGAAGACAATTCTGTAGGTGTGCTAGATTTGCTAGTCATAAAATGACCAGAAGGGAGAGAACCAAATCAAGAACAGCTGGCCTGGAATAAAGGTAAAATGTAAAATTTACAAGTGTCTCTTTTTATTCCTGTCATAAAAAGATGCGCACCTTTACATCATGACAAGTAGTATCTCTCAGAAATTACATAATCAGCTCATTCTAGTCACTAGTACATCCCAGAGAGGCATTTATTAGAATGGGGTCATCTTATCTGGGCAAGTACTTGCAGAGCAAGACTAAATCACTTTAACAAATGCCCTCATGTGGTTCTGCTTTTTACTTCCTCTGAAATATGTGGTGCTGTCAGATGCAGACAGTCCACGAGTAAAACTGTTGGGTCAGATCAGTTCATATTTTCATTACAGCTTTAAAAGCAGTGAAAGTGTGTCAGCCATACAGGTGAGGAGAGTTAAGGATGTTTTACAGGGTTGGGGTTTTTTTTAAACAGTATTGACCTTACATGTACTTGGTGACAGAGTTTGATAAATGTATGAAAGAAATGTTACCATGTGATTGCCTGTGATATCAAGAGAGCTGCACAGATGACTCAGATCACCTCCAGTACTGTGCTTTCTTAAAACTATGAATGTAATTACAGAAATTAAAAATATTCCAACCATTTCCAGCTGTCAGGGGATATGTGTGTGTATATATATAAATGTAATGCATCATTGCAATTGAAATTAGCCTGCAGAAAACAAGTTTACATTAAAGGCACCTAAAATACTACAGAATATTAAGTATGTGTATTTCTGTTACACCTAGAGATCTAGTTGACTAAAAGTCACATTGACATATTTAACTTTTTTATTTACTTTGGTACTTCTCTTAAACATCAAATTGCAAAATAGTCTGCATTACAATTTAGTTATTTCTGATTTTAGAACACTAAGTCCCAAACACCTGCCTTAAAAAAAGAATGTATGTTTCATGTTTCATTGCCTGTTTCTTCAAGAACCACTGTAAAGCTCATTCTTTTCTTTTTGGATCTTGGTCACCTTTTAAAAATTGAAACACATTTATCATATAGTAATACTACCTGAATGTATTAATCACTTCACCTGTTTTTCAGAAACTGCCAGCTAGAGCTGTATATGACTTTAAAGCTCAAACTTCTAAGTAAGTACTAGACTTTCATTCATTCAAGAATTCATCATTCAAGCAAACTCTTTCTGCCACATAAGTGGTGTTCGAGCCAGTTTCAACTGGCAAATGCATGGACATGAGGACCTTGCTTGCTGTCACAGTAGTTCCTGCACTAGCAAACTGTGTGAAAAGTTACTTTATAATAAAATTATCTTAAGTTACTATATTCTCCATTGTATCTGTTTGAACACATGAACAGCTGTGCATCTTCAGCCTTCTAGAGCACAGGTTGTGAAGGACACACACTGAATGCTCTTGTTTGTTGTGAATTACATTTAGGTGGCAGAGGGTAAATTGCTTAAACTCCTGTCATAGATAATGAGTTTATCAAAAGTCTGTGTAACGCTTCAGCCTCTTCCTGTCTGTCTTAACATACACAGGCTTTCTGCATGTCACAGGATGTGACATGCTACATACTAAGACGAAAAGCAGTGTCTGTAACAAAATATTGGGAACCACTGATTTAGGAGGAGTCAAAGTAGAATGTCTGCAATTCATTTCTGCTGTTGTTCCAATGATCCAAGACATTTAAATAATTTTTAAATATTACTAAATATTGACACTAGAATTATATTAGCTATGTCAAGACAAAATTCACAACTGAAATTACCAGAGCAGCACATTAGTTCTTGAAACACCAAATGGATGATACACCAAAGTTCTCCCAAGCCAGGATCTGAAAATATTTTTAGTGATTTTAAAAGTCCATTTTTTTGGTATCCATCATTTAGCATAGCATAGTCTCTGAGTATCGAGAAATGGTGAGAACATAATCCTGTGTGCATCATGCTTCTGAATAGCTGCTATAAAAAAAAATGTGTAGAGCAGAAGCACACCAAGCTGTAACGCTGCAGAAAGATAGTGAAAAGCCATAAAGATGTGGAATACACTCAGTGATTTCCATACTGAATACATAAAGAACACACCAAGTACCTCTCTGATGCCTGTCATAAAAGCAATACTTAAAAAGGTGATCCCAAAGACATCATACTTGCATGCACACATCATACTAAGTTCTCTGGTGGTAACTAGCAATGCCTCCTTGGAATCACCATGTAAGACAGGCCTTTGTAACCTATAGATACTGTGTGAGATTCATAAATGCGAGTAATTTGATTTTATGTGTTAAGATCAACTGATAAATGTACCACAGCTGTGACACTTTTTCTTCAAATGTTTAGTTGTTACATTCTGTTTCAGTTTCAAACTGTAAAGATCTCAGGAACCATGCAGGGAGAAGATTTAAATGTAAAGCCATAAACATCTGATATAAATAAATTTGTTACAGAGAGCTGTCCTTTAAGAAAGGAGATACTGTCTATATCCTCAGGAAAATTGATCAAAACTGGTATGAGGGTGAGCACCATGGAAGAGTTGGAATATTCCCAATTTCTTATGTTGAGGTTTGTTCTTTGTTTTAATTCCTTTAATTAATTTAGATAATAGTCCACAAACCACATGAGAATGATGAAAATCTGGTTTTTCTTTTTCCTTAGAAACTTTCTCCCCCAGAAAAAGCACAGCCTGCCAGGCCACCTCCCCCTGCACAGATTGGAGAGATTGGAGAAGCTGTTGCCAAATATAATTTCAGCGCAGACACAAATGTGGAGCTATCACTTAGAAAGGTACAGTTGAGAACTATCTTCCACCAAAATACCATTGTAAAGTCTCCTGCTACACAGAATCTATATATAGGTAAATACTGTGCTTTGTGCACTCTGCATTCAAGATGTATAATGCACAAAGCAATGCCGTGGTAGGAAACTCTAACATAATAGCTTGTTGGCTTGCAGTGTCTCAGCTAGCTGCAAATACTGTAACTGTGTTTTGCCTTTAATTTGGACTGTGGCAGAGTAGCATATGCAATCATCTGCTAACTGTCCAGCTAAATTTTGAATTTTCACTTCAATTATCTATTCCTTTATTTAATTATTATTCCTGCCTGTCACAATTATTATAGTAAGGATTTTAATGCAGAATAAATAGAAAATTACAGAAGATAAAATATTTTTTAAAAAGCCTGAGATATTTTTGTGATTGTAAATATTTTATTTAATAACAGTTCTTTATTTATAATGTTCTTTTTATTTATAATGTATCTTTTGTATGCATATCCTGTTGGCTATTGCCTATGAACAAAATAACTGTTTCATTTCTGAAGTTTGTTAGACACTGGAATATTAATACTGTAGAGAAATTTTATTATTGCAGATATTAACTACTTAGTTGTAAGTAGTGGGTACTTCTCATCCACTGAGAAATTCTGCCCCTTACTTTTGGGTTTTTTTTTAAGAATTAGTGTTCATAGAGGCTTTTCAGTTGTTTATTTTTGTTCTGAACAAAAAGTAAGGATAGAGATTTTTGTTGCTGACCTACAGCCTAATCAAACACTACTGAAAATAATGGGTGTTTTTTTATTCCTTAGAAATTTGTAAAAGTCAGAGAGGTCTAAAATAACCCCAGGAATAGCAACTTAGAAAAATTAGAGGTTGGGGGTAATTTAATGTTTTATTTCTTTCTAAAATTAGCTTTTGTGATTATTGTGGTGATCAAAATCTTGACGGCCCAATTTTGGTTTGCTTGGAAAGTTGATTTGCACTGGTTTTCCTTTGTTCCATCTCACTAAAATCAATTGTAGTGAATTCCACACATCAACTACTGAAACAAAATTAAAGAAACCCAAAAACTGCAAAACTAATAGGCAAGGATTTGTTTCAGAAAGATCTGGTGAAAAGAACATAATGTAAACCAAAGAAGGGTGTAGTTCATGAAGTAAAAGGTTTGAATATAAAGTTGATGTTTCCCATTTCAATTTCTACAGTCTCCAAGAACAGTGAGGCCCTGCCCATTTTACATAGGAAAAGCACTTATTTCTCTCATCTTTACAACAGACTCACAATTTTTAGTTTACTACCTTCACTTACTCTAGTTTTACTGAACAAAGCACTTGCATGAATTTCATTGTTTGAATTTTATCACTCTTAAGAAAAAATGGGCATAGCAGTCTATGCATACTATAGTTGGGGCATTAGCTGGTGGTTTGGCCAACAATTAAAACAGTTTATGTTCCAAAGAAAATTGTTAATGTTAATCACCCAAGCAAGAGGAGCGGACTACATAAGATTCCCCTCAGAAAAAAGAACAGCATTTTTAGTCCATGCCTAACCCCTCATTTTACTGGGATGGTAGTTTTATATATGGCTATTAGCAATGGAAGGAAAAATGGGAATATGGAGATGATGCTCAAGACTGATGAGAAGCAGCGTTGCAAAGAAGATACTATTATGTGTTAAAATAATATCTGTTATGTACAAAATTAACTTTCAATGTATAATCCATTTTCATAATGCATTTCAGGGAGACAGAGTAATTCTTCTTAAGCGGGTTGATCAAAACTGGTATGAAGGTAAAATACCAGGAACCAACAAACAAGGCATCTTCCCTGTCTCCTATGTAGAAGTCATCAAAAAGAATCCATCAAAAGGTGTTGATGACTATCCTGACCCTCCAATACCCCAAAGCTATTCTAGTGACAGAATACATCATTTAAGTTCAACTAAGGTAAGGATTTTCTGATGTTAGCTGCCACCCCTAGAGTGGGTTTAGAAGAACTTGTAATTTTTTTGTTAACATTATACATAACTTAGGCATTAAGTTACACAACATTTTCTTTCTTGCACAGGTAAAATTGCATTACTATGTTAATAAATAATTATTATAGTCAAGTGTGTCTCATATTCTGCCAGGATTTATGCTCTTTTCCTCATTGGCTATTACATTATTTTTAGTAGACAGAGATTAAATTTGGGCAGAAAAGTCAAGTCAACAGAAAAAAAAATTATTTGGGAATCTTAGCAAGAATCTGAGCATTAAGGGTATGTCTAGCAGACTTCTAATAGTACAATGTGAAGACATTCCCATAACACTATCCTAAAAGCCTATGGTTCCATAAGCATGCAGGACACAGCTTGCCAAGACCAGTTCTGTACCTTTGGAAGCAAAGGAGAACAGCCAGCGTTTCTATACCAAAATCTTCCTCCTTTTGCCATTCACAGTCTGTGAGGAAGCTAGAAGGTTGGTACGTTCTTTGGAGTGGTACAAACTGACAGTATTGTTTCATTTAGGAGTGAGGTGACTGTCACCACATTGTCAATGAACTTGAATTCAGACCTTTATGGTTGTATATTTTTCACACCAGATGTGTATCATGGGTTCCAAATTGTTTTCCTTTCTAGTCTAGATAATCACCACAAATCATACTACAGGATGCTGCAGAAAGATTGCTGTGTTGTGGTTTATTGTTCATTTGTGAGGCTCTGCACTCACCTGTGCGGGGAGCATAACATTTTTGGCAGTGATAAAAACTAATGAAGTTTCTGCCTGCAGACTGTGCTTAGAATGAACTTGTTATCAATTACTTTGAACATTCGAGATGTAAACTTTTCTAGGTCTTCCTCTTTACTTTTGCTGTTTATCTCTTCAGCATGGGCAGTGGGTTTTTTGTGTAATTACAAACTTCTTTATCCTGCTATTAATTCATGTTTCATTTGATTTTGTCTCCTTTTCTACTATTTTCTACTTCCATAGTTGGTGGTCATCCATATGCTTTGACTTTGAAATAAGTTCCACATTTACTAACTACTTTGGGGTTGTAAAAAGCTAGCCAAAGATCATTTATAGGCAACAGTAGCCTCTGAAAATATTTCTTATTACTAAGTATTAGTTCATTTGAGACAGTTGCTAGGACAGGTGTTGTCTGGTTTTCCAGAATGTGTCACAACAGAGAACTAGATCCTATCTCTTCTATTCCCACAAAACTGATCAAGTAACATCAAATTCTGTAGCTGCCAACTGAGATTCATAAGCTAGGGCCCCTTATTGTTACAGGAATCCAGAGGGTCCTGAAGGCAAGTCAGTGAGGCAGCTTAAGTGCTCCCTATTCCAGAGATGCCTCTCCCTGTTTTCTACGGAGCAGGCTTCTCTAAGGTATCCTGCTAAAGCTCCATAGTCCTTGTGGAGCATTTACATCCATATTACAAAAGTATCCTACCACTATTAGTAAGTTAGATTTTACTAAATTAGTTCATGAGGGAAGGAAATTGGTAGAAGCCTTCTTTTTAACATAGGATACTTCTTCAATAATCAGGTTAAAAAAAAAAAAACCAAAACCACCTTCCACTGAGACTCTTAAACGGACACCTTTTTTCTGGATTCAGCTGTATTCAGAAATGGCAATACTATGAGGAAGGCATGCTGTTCCTGGCTACCTAGAAGAATTGTATCAGTCCTGAAGGTGTTCTAGAGTTTACCACACTTTCTGATACCATGTTCTCTATTCCTTTGGAGATTTTTACCACATATCGCTCCTTGTTGCTAGACTATTGTACTAAATTTCTCTGGCCTAATGGCAGTAAAATAAATAAGCAAGACAAGTTATGAGCAAGTTTTGCTCTCTGTAACTTGGCATAATTCATCTATATCTTTAGATCTAGTGCAGCTTATAGCCATGGGAAACTAAAAATGGTAAAATGTCCTCAGCAGCATTATTGACCTTAAAACAATGGATTAGGGGTCCTTGCTTAAGAGGAATGATGAGGGAAAGAGACTGAGTATTTCTGTAACAGCCTAACTCTGCTTTAGCAGACTACACTGTATCAGTCTTTACTGTTTACATTGGTACAAAAGACTCTGTAGCAAAGGTTTGTCTGACTGTAATATAAAGCCGTTTGCCTCAACAAAACTCAAGCAGAAGGTAAGTAAACTAAGTTCACTATTCTGCAACATTAATGTAGACTTTTGAAATTGTAGTAGTCCAGATAACTTAGAGGTGTACATCTAATTATTCTGGATAGTTGTAACAATTAGATGAAAATATTTTTTGCTCAAGTTTAATTTTGAGGAATAATAGTAATAAAAATGCATTTTCAGTATTTACTGAAGCAATGGATATCTACTGATGCTGTGTACGTATGACTCACCAGTCTCTCATTCTTAGAAAAGGACGTTCTTTTACCAGAAGGATACTTCAATCAATATTGTGTAACGGTACTCAAAGCATACTCTTGTGTACTGTGCTGTCACTACTTTAAAAGCATCGTTGACTGCCTATGTCCAGTTTGAACTGAATGTACCTTTCACAAATGTTGACATCATTTTGAACTAATAGGGTTAATTTTGAAAAACAAATTAATTCTGAATTCTCAAATTCATTTATTCTGAGCAGCTGCTCATGCCTTAATAAAAGTATGCAATGTATTAAAGATGTTTCTTAAACATTTACTCAGAAGTACTAAGAAAAATAAAAGTATTAACATTTTAATAATTAGAAATTACCTCAGTTGTTATATGTGGAGAGGAGTATTTAATGACATCTGAAGTGTACTTCTGAAAATGGTGTTCTCAAAATTAGAGTAATGGTTTGGGAAATTTTCATTAATATTAATTGTATGATTTAATAACCTGTGACAGGCTTACTAACAGAGCACCATAAGTAACATAACTTCAGCAGATCAAATGCAGTTGCCTCCATGAATGTAATGATTCAGATCTGTCTTCATGTTTGACATTTATGCCCTAAGCCAGAACCTGATAGTTTCATGTTTCAAATGTCTTTCCTGCTGTTCTGATTCATATAGTAGTGATTTCAGACACCCATGGTCACTGAAATTGTACCCTGTAATCCAGATGATGGCACAGACGTTTTTCTTTTCCAGCTTACTCATATCCTAATTCTCTGTCATGCTTATCTATTTCCATTCCCATGTTTTTCTTATTTTTGAAGTTGCCTTCCCAAGCACTGACCCCACTTTCCAGACAACTTCCATCATCTTGGTCACACATTGATCAAAAGATTCTCCAGGCTGACTGTAGTGACTTGTTCTCAAGGACTGTTGGGTTTTCACCTTCAGGCATGTGCAACTTGACTTCTCCATCAGTTCCAGACAGTTTTCTTTGTGACTTAGAAGAACTCAATTCTTTGGCATTAGCAACCTCCCAAGCTGTAGCAATCTCCCCAAGTAATAGCATTCACCACATTAAGGATGGTCACTTTATGCCAAATACAGAGGTGTTTCTCAGCTCTCCTACAGATCTTCCTCTGTCCTCTCTTGTATCTCACTCTGTCTCATCTTCAGCCAGCTCATCTCATGGTGTAGTATATAAGCATGTCAGCAACAATACCAAGTCAGGAAAAGATAAAGACTTAGAAAGCATAATTGACTCTTTAGTTATTGAAGTACCTAGAGATTTGTCAGATACTACAAGAGAAGGTGAACATAGCACTATCTGTAACATCCCTTTGCCATATGAAGAAGGTTCCTTGTCCAGTGTGCTAGCTGCAAGTGCTGAAAATGAAGAGGAAATCTGTACTGCAGAGCTGTCACTTAATAGAGAGGATCAGTCAGAACCTCAAGAATCAGATTCCTCCGGAGAAGCACGAGACACAACAGAAGAACTGACTAGACTGTATATAGAGGAGGATCTGGTACATGACAATTTAGAATTCCCAATAGCAAGTGGAGAAGATTCTATGGATTGTTATGAAGGATATACTTCACCAACTATTGATAAGGTATTTTAATTTCTGACAACCCTGACTTCTGTGTTCAGATAATTTAGTATAAATATTCTCTGCCTTGTATTTACATGTTCATATTGTGCACAGGCACACTTTTACATAATTGCATTTGATAAAACTGAGCTCTGAGCAGGCTGGTTCAAGAAGAAAGGTGTACCTGCCCAGGGGCGGTTGGAACTAGATGATCTTTAAGATCCCTTCCCACCCAAACTATTCTATAACTCTATGATTAAAAATTGTCAGCATTAGGGGACAGTCCCTTCTCAGAAGCAGGCATATGCACCATTGTAAATTCTATGATGTATCAATTGTGTTGCTCCTTTCCCTCCTGTCCTTGCTGTTCACCGAGGAGCTTCTGATGTGAAAAGCCAGTGAACCATTTCCCTCACTAGCCCATTGCATGCTGCCCCTTTTGAGAGAGAGGCCCCAGCAAGCAAATGCTGTCAACAGCCTCCAGAGTGAGGGACTCTGTGCCTGCTGCAGAGACTCTGCAGGCTGTGCTGGCATGTGTCAGCTCACCAGCTGATGTATTTATAGCAGGCTCTGTTAGGAGGATCTGACTAACAGTAACAGATCAGATTATGTTTGGCAGTTACACAAATGCTTCCTCCTGAAGCCCTCCCCCGTTCCTCTTTGGGACAGTACATCACTGAACTAACCTGTGTGTTGTGGCCATTAAATGCTGCAATGTAACTATACTTTTTTCTGTCCAGCACTTGCTTCAACAGACTATTCAGGTAGTTGCTTTCACTGTCAGCATGCAAGTCAGGTGCTTAGAACAATATGTTTTAGGCTAAATGTTAAACTATTTAATTACATTTTGCCCTCTAATTACCTTCTACCCTTAAATGACCTGAAAAACACAGGAGAAAAACTTCAGAATAGAGGTGTAATCCATGGCCACAAATGGCAACTTTTTAATGTTTTCTGAGACAAGAAATGTCTTCCAGAAAAGTAGATGACTAATAAGATTAGCATGAGATTTATGATTATTCAGGTTAGTTACATGTCCCCTTAAGGAGCATTTGACATCCTTTAGCTGATTTGTAACAGTTTTATAGCACAGCTCCTTCTGATATTTCTCAAACATTTAAGCCAGCTCTGCTTTCTGCTGGAACATCAGGAGACTGATCCTCTTTTCCATCTTTCTTCTAATCTTCCATTTCCCTCTGCCAAGGCACCTACTTCCCACTCCGTTCCTACAATATCCCTGTCTACTGCTTCCCTCTCAGCTCCTCTCCTCTCTAAACCCTTTCATCAGCAGGAGAAAGACTCACTGCAGCTAAAGGTAACTGCACCTCTTGAATATGGATTGTTGTAAATCTTTGTGTCTATTAAACAACTGCAAGGCTAACACTGAGTTTGATCTTCTCAGATGTACTGCTTTCTCTACTAATACTAAATAACATAAAAAACAAAGGATTGCTAGGCTTTTTCAAGTGAAACATAAGGTAAAACTATAGCCATTGTAATACAATTAAATAGTTTATGGAGATACCAGTGATAGGAAAGCAGAAAGCCTTCTACTCATTTTCAAATTCATACCAGGACAGCAGTGTAGTTTAGTTAATTGAATGAAACACAACTGTATTCAAGTATGCAGAAACTAGATAACATTTGTCTTTCTGTTTTTAATTTCAATTCAAAGCCTGAGAGAAAAGTCATAAATTTCACAGGAAAGCACCACTGCAGAGGGTCATGTTCTAAATACCAACTCTGTTAGTCAAGGACTGGACAAAGATTATTCCCTCTTCAGGACTACAGTTTGTGTCAGCATTGAAGCTCTGTGGCAGAAAAATGAAAATTTGCTTTAGAAAGACAAAGCTAATTTGCAGTGCTTACTTCCAGAAGATTTGTCTGCTCATGAAAAGGAGAAAACGTAATGTAAAGAGAAACTATCCTAGAAAAGTGATCCTTACATCATTACATCTATGTCATAAATGCACTTCTTTTTTTTTCTTTTCTTAAGATCTACCCCATTTTACAATGTGCATTCACAGAAAACATAGACATAATGTACTTAAAGATGTCTTAAGATCAACAGATTTGTTGGTTTTTTTCTGAAGCAGGGAAGAGATACAAGGCTTCTCTCCAGGACATGAATCTGTCATGAGCTTAGGTTTGTTCCACCTCAAAGAAGGGGTAAAATAGAGTATTGTACTTGTTTCTGCAGCTTTTAATAATGCAGCAGTTGGTAGACTGCTTTTGGTGGTTTTGCTTAGCCTAACCAGAAAAATTAAGAACATTCCTCGTCTACACTGAAATTCTTTTTAGGTAACCTCTATATTCTTTGCCCTTATTTGAGCAAGGTGTGTTAATCCAAGCTGAAAATAAATAGAAGGAATATATGTTTTTGAAACTGTATACTGATACTTCAGTAACTTTTGTTAATTTAAAAATACATATGTATATACAGACACACACACATATATATATATTTGCTATATAGCTTAAAACTAAATAGAATACAAGGAGTTATGGGTGGGAAGTGTCACTACATATTTTGTTAGTGGAAAGGATGTGTCCTCCAAAAAAAGAAGCCTGAAGACACATCCTAAGGAGAAATGCTGACATTTTTCTGCCTCCCTGGCCTCTCTTGTTATCTTTTTTTGCTGTTCTTACACCCCTCTCTCCTAAGAGGGGGCTGGGGTTTTTTTGTTTAGTCACATTCTACTGACAGTGACAATTACCTAAGAAAAGGTTTCCAATATAGCACTCCACTCTCCTCACATTCCCCCCAACTCACCCCTGCCCATGAGATTTCACATGTGCTGCACTCACACCGCTTAATAACTGAATTATGACAAACACAAAGCTGATTCATAGTGGTGCTAACAAAATGAGGATACTTTCATAAAGTATTTTCCACCAAGTGTTTACTTGCTTTATAAATGCAAATCCAAGGGGTGTGTTCTGTTTAACAACAAGGAATTACATTCACCATTGGTATTTCTAAGGTAGCAGAAATGCTACCGTAGAAATATCAATGGCAAATGTAGTTTGCTCTGTGCTGTATGGCAAATGTAATTCGCTCTGTGCCATTGAGCTTTCCTGTGTTATTATCTAAGCTACTTCAGGGGGTACACATGCAATAACTGTTCCAATTGCATATGCTATACAGGATTCATATTTTAATTGCAACATGTAAAGGTCTGTGCCAGAGCAGGAAACCCTCGAGGAAAAAAGATACAGTGGTAGCAGTGAAAATATTGTATACTAATATTACCCCTCCTACCTGTAACAGTTGCTTTTTTTTAATCAGGAGAATCATGTCTGATTTGCATGCATGAATGAAGCAACAAAAATCCCATAAAGCTTCATTCTTGAACTCTTGCTTGACAAAGTTTTTGTGGTTCTTCTAGGCTAATTTAAAGAGGGAGCTATTTGTTATGGGTAAACCTCCTCGTAGCCCAGTGATGACTAAGAGAGCCTGCAGCTCACCTGTCAGAGGTCACAACTATTCACACAGGGTATGGTACTGGATGCCCAGTGTGCAATAACAGCTTTTCCATGGACGAGGAGCTCAGTGTCTAGTGTTTCAGTATTTTGCTTTTATCCAGGTGTCTCAATACTATCAGTATGCTGTGTTTTCTTCCTGTTGTGCTTCTGTGCTATGACTGAATAAAGGCAACAGGTCTGTGTGTGCCTGAACGTTTTATATAAATCCAGTAGTTTACTGTATCTCTGCAGTACTACATGGTATTTCCAGTGCTACAAGGTGTTTATATTTGGTTCTTTATAATTAGTCTGGTTTTATTAAAATTACTCCTCTCTTTCAAAGCATTTTTTATTTTATTAAAATTACAGCTTCTAAAGAGTCAAAAATTGATTCTCCATTGCATACAGACTGAATTTTTGGTTTTGAATCCATGTCCTTCTTCTCAAAATGTTTTGCTTCTGCTGTATTTTTTCACTCAATACTGTTTTCTTTATCCAAACATTCCAGATTTTAATACTCTTCAACCTTTCACTTCTTATCTGTAATGTAACTGTAATACAACTCTAATACTTTCATCTAGCCAGAAAGTCAGAAGTCAGGTTGTTTAGAGTTCGCATGGATTTTGCTCAAAAAGGTAATCTACGTTATGGAAGGGGGCAGGGGGATGACAAACACAAAAAATCCACCCTAAACCTAAATAATAAGAGATGAGAATTTATGGTTCATGCTTTACTTTCAGTTTAGGATTTAATTGTCCTTTGCATTGGTTTCTTAACATTTAGGTCTTAAAACTGGCAATGGGATGAATTGTTTTCCATGCTGTTGCTGCTGCTTTTATGCAATTATCTTTCCGGTGTCTCCCTTTTTAAAATTTGAATCTTAGTTTAAGATATGCAGCTTTCTGTAACTTCCAAAGTCTTTGCTTTTTGGCAGACCTCTGTTTGCTTCCAGGTATTGAGGGGACAGCACTTTCTTCACTAATGAAGAAAGGCAGTTCAATCCTAGGAAGGCTGGGATTCTTGTAGTAGCAAACACCATCTAACCAAAAGACCAACTAGGAATGAGAGCTGGTAAAAAAGGGATTAAGCCCTATTTTAATTTTGCACATTACTCCAAATGAATGACATGTAACCAATATCTTAAGAGGAGTGTATTGGTCAATGTGTAATATATTTCTTACTTTAATTCCAAAAGTACAAGAGCACATATCATGCGCCTAATTTGCATAGTCAGGGCTCTACAGAGCTTTTATATGTAAGTCCAGTATCAATCATGCATGAAAATCAGGCATACAACTGGAACCATTTACTTGATTGCACACTCCTTAATGTTTATGGGATTTGGTCCTGCAATATTTTCTAGGATATAAGACAGTCTGGTAAACAGGTGCATTTGAAAACTTGGCACCTTTGTTAACAGTCCCTTGTCTAGCCAATGCAACTTTATGTGAAATGAGAGCTTAGGGAAAGAAAACAGGGAGAAAGCTTCTGGATGTCGGCTGGGGTATTCCTGTGGAATGCATCCAAACAGAGAGCAAGCACAAAGGTCCCCCTGCTCAGACCACCAATCACTTCAGCCTATTTCTGCAAGATTTGTAATTTTGTCACAAGACTGTTTTCTCTGCAGCAATAACATAGAGTTGAAAATCAGGAGTCATCTTGATTCTTATCTGTTTCTACAGTGGTTAATTAGCAATAGAACCTTTTATGAAGCATATGCAGAAAAAGAAGAAAACCTTCCCAGTTTCTTCCTGGTGTTATGTTCAAAGCATTAAATTTATTTGTAGCGTTGCATAGGACTTTTACTTCCATTATTTATAGGGGAAGTCCTTAACCTCAGTTGAGTTCTTTTGCATCTCTATCTTTGGCATTCAGCTTTGGCATACAGACCAGATGAAAGATTAGCAGCAAATCAGGGCAGATTCCAGTCTAAATACAAAGCATTTTGACTATTCTCCTCTTGCTTGACAAGCCAGCAATTGAAGGAGGTGTATTGAGAACTGTTTAATTTGCAATCTTTACTGTTTATTCTTCAGAAAAATTAGCCATCTTTCTTGCACACTGGCAGAGGAGAGTTAAGTGAGGGAGAGAAGACAGTAAATAGTATGAACACTTTTTTTTTCCTAAGAAAATCTCTTTCCCACCTATCATTCAATAATATGACTTAAAAAAAAAAAAAAAATGCAATCTACCTGCCTGCATATTTAGGTACCTTTTAAAAGTTAAACTCTATAGACTGTAAAATACAGACTGTTCACAACATTTTCTGCACATATTCATAGAAACTGCTGAAAAAGTAATTTAACTAATTTCATCTGGAGATGCTGAGAAGGAAAATAAGGGAAAGAAACCTAACAAACCACATCCTGTGTCTTTCTGTTCAATTTTTGCCATCAGCCTGTGGATTGTTTACGGCTGCCTTCTCTCTTGGAACACTATATCATCTTCAAGAGTGATGAAAGAGTGACTGAAATAGTCAAACCAAGAGAGAGCCAATAAAACAAATTCCATGGCTTAAAGATCAGGTTGAAGTTTACTCAATTCATGAAAGAAAGTGCTATGAGCAGAGTTTGATATTCACATTCCCAAAACAGATATGGTTCCCAGACTTGTCTCTGCAGAGGGCATCCTCAGTCAACAGAGAATACGATCCTTGCTCATATCAAGAGCTTTTCCAAGCAGCTGCTCCTGCACTTTCTGGCCCCAGCCAGATTCTAATCAGTATAAATCAATGACTTTCTAAGCAGGATATGGTTTCTGTAGAAGGTTAGTATTTTTCATTTCCATTGCATCCAGATGAATTGAATATTATTGCTCAGTAATGCTCCATTAAGAAGGAACATAGTTCCTTTCAAAAAGCTTTGCACTGGAAATACAGACTACTTTTTTCTGTTAAAGTGTTAATTGTTATATTCACACAATTAAATGTATTCGTTCAAAATTTTTTTCTGTTCTTTGCCTCCCAACAGCCTGCATGGCTTGAGATGAAACAGAATTAGTTAAAGCATAGCATGTTATGCCTGCCAAGTTAGTACTTTGTGTGTGTAATGAAAATTGTTATGTTGTTTGTCTGTAAATAGTCTAGATTCTGCCATTATGTATAGGAGATTTTATTTCTGCTTATCTAAAAATATATTTCACCCAAAAAATGTATGATGTTCATCAGTTGCATCTGATTTTTCCAATGTTATTTCTGTTTCACAGTGAAGAAGCAGCAGGGTTCTGTTCCAGCTTTGTACTATGATATAAATAGAATGGACTGTTGATGAGGTTCACGGTTTTGTTTAGTTTTTATTATGACCTCCAAAAATCAGATCTTTAAATGTGCCAAGATTCAGTTGTTTGTCATGTCTCTTAAGAATTTCTTGTGAGTTGGAAGGGGGGCAGAATGTGCCATGGTTTCACACAAGGTAAAATACAAACTCTTGAGCAGCTGTGTGTTACACCCCTATCCAACTATTTGGACCTTAAACTGCAAATCTGTATTACATTTCAAATCATTTCATTTCAGCCACAGCGCCCTGTGCTTTCTCATGAAAACATACACGGTGGGGGGGAACCGTAAGTATAATTCCTGTCTACTAAACCAAACACATTTAACCTACAGCCAGCACACCATCGGATCAATTTTTTAACTTGCCAAGTACAATTATGAAGAGATTTCACAGATTTATAGGTAACTGCATGATGTAGGAAGATAGCCAAGAAAGTCCCAGAGAGCAAAGCCTTATTTGTTTAATTTTACATTCAGTGCAGCCAGACATGGCAACTTAACAGTTCTCCATTGTCTGTACTTACAGAAGAGATTCTGACTTTTTTAATTCTCTCTATTTTTACATCTCAGCAAAATGACAATTACAGATTCAACACTGATTCAACTGATCTGCTTTACTGACTTGATACAATTATTCAGAAACAGTTCTGGATGTGAAGAGAGAGTAAAAAAGTACCTTGATAATGTTGATCACAGGAACACAGGCTCACACTTTTTGGTGTGATTTACAAGTACAATTCAAAAATGAGATGCAAGAAAAGCTTTACTGAAAACTGGACAAGAACCTAGAACTCAAATCTTATTTTAAGTGCTTTGGGATATTTCAGTGCTGACAGTTAAAATGCAAGTTTAATGCAAGATTGTCTCTTGATCCCTGTCCCCCCCCCAGCCTTCAGTGATCACTGAAACCAGTAGCCATTCTTCCTTTAGCATCAGAGCACTTCAGCATATGCCCTACTAGATAATTTTTCATAAAATGTACCTAAGGTTTATTGTCTAAAAATATTTTTAAGTTTTCCTTAGTCATTTGAAGATGAAAAAGAGGGGCAAAAAGAGGGCCAGATAGATATACCACAAATACATAATGAGATTTGGATAGTCAATCTCACTAAAACCAGTTTCCTGTCGGTATTGTCGAGCATGCTGAAGCACCTAACTCGGTTCTGAAAGCAATAATTTTCTAATTTGTTTTTTTTCAATATATTATAAGTAGTTCATTACTAAAGTTATTGAGTCCTAAAATTAAAAATAGAAATATATTGAATTTATATACAAATTTTCTTGAGTATGTTTTCTGTCAGTATTCTAAATGCTAGTAGAGTTTTCATACTTACAAAAGTCCCATATTAGCATAGAGAAAATGAAATTACTACAAATGAGTTTTTTATTGGATTATCTAAAAATTACTAGATTCAATTTCTAAAGTACAAAGAGAGCTCATTGGGAAGTTCTTGTTACTGTACTTGAGTAAGTAATTGGCTTGAATCCTATTCATGACACAATACATCTGCAAATCCTGTCCCCTTGGAAGCTGCATTTAATTAGTTTTTGGAATATCACCATACCTCTGCTTTCCTGAAATTCTGATAAGCATAAAAGAAAATATTATTGCCACTTAGTTTTTTGCACAGATTGTTCTTACTCCTGCTACACAAATTACCAAAGATTATTGCTTAAACAACCAGTCTCTTTCCATTTTGTTAGAGTAATTAAAATATAAAAAGAGACTTTTGGGGCTTGGGAAGATGACTGCCAGTGATGAGAAACCAAGGGAAATTGGTTTCCTTTTTTTTTCTTGGAACATTTTCTTCTTTTCTAATCTCTGAACCAGCAATGTGAAAATTAAGTGTAGTTTATTCAAGATGACCATCATGAAACTAAGCCTAGCACCAGTCTGTATATAGGATTTTCAAATTGGGCTTTCAGGACCAGGAATTTTTTTACTAAAGTGTACATCTTATTGAAGCCATGAAAACTTAGCTGGAATGATAAACCCATCAATGAGCAGGCTATCTTCTTTTACTGGGGAAAGTGTAATGACAGTATTAAGGTTTAAAACTCAGTGAACTGTTTTAAGAGAAAAGGATGGACACAATTATGTTTTGCTTCAGTAATCCGAAATTAATTTTCCCAATTTCTGCTGTTGTACCCTGCTTCTTTTTAGACAGGCATATCTGAGGCACAGTTGCTTAGGAGAAAAGGCCAATTCTGACTCTGCAGGACTCACAGGCTTGTGCAACAATCTTCCTGTGGGCTGTCAGCCCAAGAACCTTCAGTTCCCCCTAGTGAGAGTTTATTCTTTCAATTAAAAAAACTTTAATTAAAAGCTGGCAAGGAATGAAATACAATGATTTAGTAATTGCACACTTCTTGCCATTTATCCACTTTACATCCTGCAATCTGCAGCCTAGCACAGCTCAGGCTTTGAATATTGTTTGAGTTTCCATCCATATGTCCTCTGATTTGTTTCAGGCCTCTCCCTCACTCCCATAGATGGTTTGTCTATGCAGTCACTTGAGAGCCCAGGGAGCTCCCCCAGCCACAGTGACAGCGTGTGAGAGCTGCTGTCCTGGGTACCCTCGATGTACTGCCACTGGCTTCTCAGAGCTTAAAGGCAGAACCACAGTGTTAGGTGCTGACCATGGAAGGCTACAGGCCTACAACATCTAGATTGTCCTTTAGAAGTCCTCTGTTTGGTTGCTGAACTATAAAATAACACTAAATTTTTTTTAAAGATCTGGTTTTGAAGCAACTGGTTGAGGAGCCATTAGGCTTGCCTTTAAACCCCATCTTCAGTGTCTCATGAGTTGCCTTTCTAATGAAGGTTTTATTTACTATACATTCCTTACCCTCAAGTCCACCAGGCAGGAAATAAAAAAAAAAGTTCTTTTCCCCTCTATTTGCAAGAAGTGTTTTTTCTTAATGTTTAAACCAGCTGCTTTACTTGAGCAAAAGTGCAAGGAACTCTTACTTCTTTTTAAAATACCTCATTTGTCCTATTTAAGGTTTCAGGCTCTATATAACTATACTCCTAGGAACGAAGATGAATTGGAGCTCAGAGAGGGAGATGTCATTGATGTGATGGAAAAATGTGATGATGGATGGTTTGTGGGTATGTTTTAATTTGGTTGCTTTCTTCTTTCTTCCCCCCTGACCTTTGCTGCCCTCTTTGTGTAGCGTCTTTTAAACAACTTGATTTTTGGCATTTAGTGTAATAAACTTGAACCTGGCTTTATCAGGAGAAATCCCAACCAAAATCCACTGAAATTAGCAGGTGATTTTGCACTTTTGTCTGTTAAAATTAATAGATGCAAATTGACACACAGCTCCGGATTGTTGTACAGCATTGTTGTCATTCGTGACACAGAATTGACGATGTATTACTTCTCTCTTTATAAAGGCCAGGCAACTTAAAACCTTCCCATAGGAATACATCCACAGCACTGACCACTTGTGAAACCCAAGTATTACTGAATAAACAATAATTTCATAACCAGGTGTAAATATGGTGGCTTAATCATTTCATAAACCTTCATGCACACAGCAGCTAACTTAGTCATCTGACAAGTTCTTAATATTTTAAAAATTCACATTATTTAAATAGATTTTATGTTGTTGAAATTAAATTATTTCTATGTACCAAGAATTTTAGCACGCTTTTAATCAGGCATAACAATTTAGTCAAATATGCATCTTAATTTGCATTTTTCTTCCTGTGTTACACTTTGTTAAACCTCATAAATAAAATTACATAGTATAAGGAACTCTAGATCATTCTATTTGTGCAATATTAAACATAAAAAATTTGAAGGCCATGCTTACATAGTGATTTTCTGTTGTTATTCCCATCTTTCATCTATTGCTTCTAATTTCAGGAACCTCAAGAAGAACCAAATTCTTTGGTACTTTCCCTGGAAACTATGTCAAGAGGCTGTGAAATTTTTTTTTTTCTACTTATTTATGCTGCATCTCTGCAACACATCTGCATAAAGCTGCTAGAAAACATGCTACGCTGGCCTTCTGTTTTCTTGCTTGCAGTGTCAAATAGAGGCCATCTAGTTCATCCTCATCCCATCCCACCCGCCAAACCGTTCCAGCAGTATTACAGCAACGACCACAGTGTGAATAACTGAGCTTTTCTGAGACAAGAGGAATCATTTCAGCATTTAAATACTCCCTGCTTTAAAGTCTTTTCATGCGAAACACAATAGGAAAAGCCTAATGACAGGTACACAAATGAGTTGCCGTGGAGGGTAGGGGGGAAGGGGGGATAAATTGATCTTGGTTTGAACATTTGTTTGTACTACCATGAAGTCTGGTGGGATTTTTTCAGCATGCATGTAATACAGAGGAAAGTTGCTGTTTACTATTTTTTTTAAAAATTGATTTTACACATTCTTATTAGCTTGGCAGCATTTGTTGCTTCCACATTGCTGTGTCACGGGTTTGCCTATTGTACTGGTTTACAATGTATGACAAACTATAATATAGATTTTCTTTGCCTGCACTTGTATGCTGTAACAAATGCACAGTGATTGTAAAATCTCAAGCAAGCAAAGTGAAAAATGGAAGAACTGCAAGTGTTCTGAATGGGTGCAATGGTATTGGCTAAATCTTTTTTCTTTTTTTCCCTAATGAAAAACTGTAGTATACCTGTAGTGTTTTCTGTTAAAAAGTAAGAAGTGCAAAAGGCACAAAGACTTGGGGAAAGAGAATTTAAGGAAGAGCAAGACAGTGCTGTAAGCATAGACAATAATAACCTGCTATTGATGTCTGATATTAAATGGTTGTAATCAAAATCTTGTAATAGTAAGCAACATGAAGTGTAAGAGGTTAGTGTTTTTACTTATCAGGAAATTAAAGAAGCAGGAACGTAACCAGTGTTAGTGCAAAGGATTGTTGGATTTTGGTTTTTTTCTTTCCTAACATAGCCACCTGAAAAATATTCACAAGCATCATGTACTGATTTATTTCACTATATATGTGTATGTATGTTAATGAAACCCAAGTTACACATTCTTTTTAGGAATTTAGACAGCAAAAAATGTCACAAGTATTAAAACCAATATATTTTAGAGGTGTTGGGTTTTGGTTTTTTGTCTGAATGAACAAGTGTTTGAAAACATACGTTTTCCATAAGAAAAGGTAAGCATAAATAGCAAATCAAATTAAGGCACAGGATGATAATCACTATGGCTTTATAAAAATAAAAATTTGGATTTGGATTTTTTGGCACCTTATAGATGGCAAAAGCTTCTGCTGCATTTTTCATGGGTAAAGGATCAAAATTATCAAAATGTATGTAGTCTCTGTAGCATTTTGTACATAATTTTGCGTTTTTGTACAGAGCCATTTGGTTGTTGATTTTTTAAAAATTAAGTTTCTTATTTGCCCTCTTCACATACAGAACATTTCGATGCATTTTTCTTTTCTTTCTCTGTTTACCATAATCACATCTGGATAGTGCAATTCTGTAAGATAGCCTTTTATGCAAAATTTTATTAATTAAAATATGGTTTACCAGCCAAATCTAAATGTACATATGTCTTTATTACTGAGAAAGGTCATTAAGGCAAAGGTAAAGAAACATCTTTGTGCAGCATACCTTTATTATTGCAGATTTCATGGCAAAAGCTTTATATTCAAAGGCTTTCAATTTTAAACTAGATCTGCATGCAGCTTTGCTGTGAGATTAATACTATCTTTGATGCCATTTATGATTGAGGACTTAAATATCTGTTGCCTGTGATATTTAAAAAGTACTGTTTCTACTCTGTATCTGATTTTAGAAAAATGCAGGTTTTTCATACCTGGCTTTCAGGTAACTGACTTTGAATTCCTACAAGCAAAAGGTCTCTGTTGGTTTTTTTTCCTTGAATAGACTTCTAATAAATTCTGCTTGGAGTACAAAACTGTTTCCCCTATCCTTTCTCCAAATACAAGTAACTTATCACTTAAGTATTGCAAAGACTTCAAGTTTATAAGCAAATATTAGTACACCTTGTACTTACACACACACCCCCCACAAAGCCTACACCAGTTATATATTTGTGCCACTAGCATTGCCCACACAGCTCTCACTTAGTCCACTTCTGTGTCATCCTTGAAACACCTGAATGCAAAAGCAACAGTATGGACTCTGCACAGTGTCAATTTGAGATGATTTTTCTCTTGCCAGAACCACCCTTCACACGGAAACACAAAGGTAAAACACACAATGTATAAACCCTTTATACATGCCAGAAGTTCCTACATCCTAATCCTTCAACAAAAGCCAAACAAGAACTCCCATGTTAAATGACAGCACAGGAACAAGAATTAAGGAAAACACTGGTTTTGGGGAACATTGTACACTTGAGACATCTCTGCCTGGTAAGAAACAACAGTCCAGAAAATCATGCAAGAAGAAGCAAAGCAGTTCTAGGTTTTGGGTGGGGGTTTGCATTTGGTTTTTTTGTTGAACTTTTTTTCACTGCCTGGTAGCACAGATACTGCTGGAGACTCAGAGTAGCTCTTTGGTCCTTCTTCACCATTCCACACTGGCCATTCCTGCCAGGTTGCTTCTTCCCAAATGCTGTGCATAGTATACTTCTGCCACTAAAGAATCCAGTACACCAGCAACCTGCATTTGGACAGGAATAATCCATTTCCTCAAGTCTGATGTATGATGTTTCCTCTTCACAATTGCTGGGCTGGAAAATGCAAGCCCACCAACATCTCTAAGTAAATAATAAATATGTAGCTGAAAGTGATACCTGTCTACAGGGAGGTTAAGACCAAGGACTGCTATTAAAACTCCAGCAGAAACTCCTTTGTCAGTATAATTGTCAGTGCTGGGAGTGTTTTCAGTCAGGACAAGGCCTGATTTAGTCAGTATGACTGAAGTAACCCTTCCCTTCCTCTGCTAATTTAGTTTAAACCACCACATGCATCTCTTCTCACAGCCCAATAACCAAATGCTGGCATATTCAGTCAAACATTGTGTGGTTTGCCCTTTCTGTTTGGTTGACCCAGCACAGGATTCAGGACATCACTGAAGTCCTGCCTTATGCCAGGTACCTGTGAGAACTGTCAGAAACAGGCAGTGCTGTGCTTTAATAGTCTTCTATAAAAACTAGCCTAATAACACCAGCTGGTTATTATAGTCTCACTAGTATAAAGAAATTCTGGATCATTAAAGGTCTGAGTGGTTAAGGGGTAAAATAGAATCGTCTACTAATTGCACAATGAATGAAAAAGAGGAAAATATTTGCCATTGTAATGAAAATAGCAAGCCATTGACACTTCAGGAGAAGACTGTAGTTCTTAATGTTTTAGTCAAAAAGTAGAGAAATATTTAAATATATCCAGGTAAACCAAACATGCTCAATTCTGCTAAGTCTGCTGAAATCCCAGCTACACTATTTAAGGAACAAACTGAAGTATATATCAAACCAAATTCCTTTTCTCTTGTCAGCATATGTAGCATGCTTCTTGATTTCTGTTAGAATTTGTTTTTCATACTATGAGTTGGCAGCTGGATTTGCAGACTAAGAAAAGTCTGTGCCAGTGCAATAAAATAAAGTCTGTTGTAGAGCTGCAGTACATTTCAGACAAATAGGTAATATAACCACAGCATCCCAAAAAATCAGTTGACCTCAGTCCCTACCCTGCAGAGTATATTTGCTGCCGAGGCAAAGGCTTCCTAAAGCAATAGAGCCCATAACATATCAACAAGCCAGGGAAACTAATGCAGGAGCAGTTCAGGGTAGTGATCTATATCCCAAACTAAGCAAAGGGTCACCCTAGCAGGTCTCACATTCTGTCACCCGTGCCAAAGCAAAGCATGGTGTCATTCTGCGATGCCTGGTATTTACTAGTTGCCTTTTAAATGCTGATATACAGAACCCGGACAGGAACACGAGGTGCTTCCTGCGCATTTGAAAAAGCAGTGCATGAGCCCATGGGAAGCTGGAAACATGAAGTCAGTAGCTCTAGAAAGACCTTAGGTCATTGCTAAGTATAGTCCCTTACAGCATTAATAGTTATAGGGTGAAACCCTGCCTTTGCTCCAGTTAACAGCAAGTCCCTTTGAAATCAACAGATCCCACAGTATTGGTAATAATTTCTGTATTAACATGAAACTAAAATTACACAAGAAAGAAGCACTAGAACAACTGAATGTCAGTTTGGGTTGGTTTTATAATACTGAAAACTGTGAGTGCACAGAGAGACCAGAATCCACTTCTTTAACCGTTCTCCCAACAGAGCAGCGCAGATAGTTCCTTTTTTAGTACTTAACTGAAAAGTTAGCTTAAAAAATTTTCTTTTATCCATTGTTACAACCAGCAAATACCAATCAGACCAACACCTAAATCCATCCATTTTACACAGCAGGGAACTGCCAGACCAACACAATGGAAATCAGTGCCTTATGCATACACAGTAAATGCCATTTATTTGACTGGATGCAGAAATTGCCATTTTACTGTTATCCTTCCTGTAATGGCTAGATACTGAAGTTCCCAAGTCCTAGCTAAAGGTTGACCAACAGAATCTATTGTTCTCATCCATATAGTGAAGTCACATTCCTTTGAAAATTAAAAATATTTTCACACATGTCTATGCAGAATATGACAGAAATCTACTGAAAGCTTCTAGTTACTATGTGGTGATGAAACCAGGGAAGAACTTGAACAATCCTGCAGGTGCAACTTCTAGTGCAAATGTGCTGTAAATAGTTACACTGTGCAGCTGCACCCAGGACTCCCAGCTCCTGTTTCATTTGCATCAGTGAGAATACCACATATAATGTATTAAGAAATATGTCCTTTGATATTTAGATTTTGTTTCCTGAGGGGTCACAAAGGAGCAAAATTTTGTGGTAACCAATTGTTTTATACCACAAAAAAGCAGAAAGCATTCTTACTAAAATAGCTTTAATGCCTATAACAACTATCCCATACCAATTTTTTGAGCAACCTTTATTTCATGATGTCACATCTAATTACAAATCAGGAGCACGGAGGGTTCCACTACATCAGAATGGCATTACATCACAAGTGACACGAGGGCAGAGAGGGGGGGGAAGTGTTGACTGACAACACAAAATGCGTTGCTATCCTCAGTACAGACACTCGCATATCAACAATTCATGTTTCTCACTGCCAACACAAATAACAAACTTGGAAGCCATTATTTCATCACCCCCATAAACAAATAGCAAAGTAATCCTCCTACATTTTCCATCCATCAGAAAAATCAGTAAACCACTTTAAAAACATCCCATGAATAATGTAATCATTTATTTCTACCAATGAAGAATTACCAGAGAGCTACAAGCAGTGGCTCTTGATAGTTCCCTCCAAAAGGAGGGGTTTCACTTCTCTCTCATAAGCTAATGTTTCCTTTGCAAGAGAGGGTCCAGTATTCACTTGTGTCCACTTCGGGGTCCAAGCTCTAGCTCCAAGTGATTGGGAGAGAAATTTGCTATTTTAATATCTTAAAGGATCTAGTCCTTTAAGATTGTTTTGGCCATCTTGCATTAATATAAAATGGAGTAATTTTATCTCAAGACTTTCTGTAAGTGCCACTTAAGGACCAAAGAAATAAACTGCTCTATTAAAATTATCAAGCCTTCAGTCATTTGCACTGTGATTCTTTCCCTCGCCCTTGAGTTAAGCATACAAGTGAAACCAGCACTTCAGATGGGGAACACTGAGAAGCCTGAACATGTCGTTCTAAGTGGGTCATTGCACCGCTTCTGTCACTGTGATTTGCTAGATAAACCCCAAGCATGCAAAGACCCAACGCATGCTTCCCTGGGTTAGTGCTCTGAACTCTGTAATGTGAAACATGTACAAATACCAGCTGGCTTAATACCCACCAGAGGCTTTTCTTACACTACCACAGATTCATCTGTTATAGATAGGGGCTTTTTTCACATGTAACTGGAAGTATTTGAACAGGTGAGAATGAGCCCTTCCCTCTTTACACCATAAAAGAGGACAAATGAATGTGCCCAGGACGTCTGGGGTAGTAGAGCGCAGTATTTATATGTCATGGAAGAGTTTAAGGAACTATTTATAGATTCATTTCAACTGCTCCTGCAGCCAGCTCTGAGGTACAAGACATAAAGCAGCACATGAGACAATCTGAAGCAGAAAGTATCAAAGTCATATGCCATCAAAACCATCCAGGATGCACAAAAAACCCCTCTGCTAGTCACCAATCCATATTCACATTCTGAAACAAGCATACTGCTACACAGGGGTGCCAAATTTTTGTACCTACCATTTCAGACAAAAGGCATTTTAAATAAGAGTGGTCGAAGAAAGCAATTGTTACAAACCTACATCAGCATCAGATAATAACTTCTGACCATTGCAGCTTTAAACTAAAACTTCTAAAACTTCTGCAGTTTAAGCTCTTACAGAAAATTGACTTTTCAGTTGCAGACACTAGGGATAAATTCTGTGCACAGGATCTTAACATTTCTACTAACTATCCAAACTTTCTCCATTCTTTGCAACACACACTTCCTTTGTTTATCTATTTCATTGCAGGGTCAGAAACAGTGCAGGCTTCGAGACAAGAATCCTCAAGGCAGAAAACCTGCAACTTATTTGTACAGCATTCATGCTAAGATGTCCTTGGTCTTTTGAGGTCTTAAGCATTGCTTCAATGCAGGAGGGAAAACAGCACTAAATGAAAATAAATTGTTTCACTTATAGGCATACATTCACAGGTACATCCTGTACCTCAGTTACAGAAACAGCAGATGTTTCAGCCTCTTCCACTCAAAGAAATTTAAAATCCAAACCAAATTTTAAAAAAACACCCTAATACACAACAAAACTAGAGTGTGGCTGCTAGTGAAGAAAGAGCAGTGTATTTGGGACATAAAAAGCAGACAAAACCAGAGAGAGCCATC